TAAACATAATCAGATGTGTATTGTATTGGGGGATTTTAATGTTAAAGTAGGAAATTATTTACCTGGGAATAACAGAGACATAACTCTGCTAAACCTAATAAAACGTAATAAACTCCATCTTTTGAACAAAAGTGGTAAATGTGAGGGGCTGTGGACCAGGCAGCAGGATGACAAAAAATCTATTCTAGATTATGTTTTAGTGGATAATGAATTAGAAAAGAAAGTAGCCAGGATGATAGTCGCTGAAGAAAGGAACTGGTGCCTGTGTCGTTACGAAGATACAAAAAATGAAGATTGCAAAACCACATACAGTGACCACAACACAATTGAAGTATGTATGAGTCTTGCACCGAAAAGAAATAGTCTGCATACAAGTACAGATCAAGGTGAAGAGAGGGAAGACAAGGGATATAATATCAGAAACCAAACAGGACTGGAACCAAACAAAGTGGAAGGAAACCAATAACAATAGTTTAAATTTACAGAAAATTTGGATAGGACCGGGCACACTGATATCCAGGTACAGAAATTGGTTAAGTAAGCTGAAGAAAAATCTACAGTATTGCTTTCAAAAGAATAGAACCAAACAAGTACCTCGGGTAAGTGATGAGATAAAATATCTCTTGAAATTAAAACGCTCTTTAAAAAGGAAATTTAGTCAGGAAAAAACTTGTGGGCATGAGGAGACAGTGACCTTATTAGGGGAAAGGATAAGAATTGTGAACAAAAGGATTGGTGGTTAGAAAAGGAAGGAAAATTGCCATGTGTTCAATAAACGGCGTAAAGTGTGAGTTAAAGTGTGTATTGCGAGATTTTTGCTCAGAAAAACTAAATATAGCTGAATATAGTCTCACCTGACAGCGAAAATATCACTGATTACACCAACATTAAAAATACTAAGATTTTATGCAGTTATAGCATAGAAAATTAGATATGAAGTTTTTTCGAAATCACTGACCATAAAAAGCCGAGTCTTATAGCCATAATAGAAAGCCACATGAGAGATAAGGAGAGTATAAACCAGGGTTCTGCCCACGGTGGGCGTCGGTGGGCGGGTGTACCCGGCCCTCGCGGTTGCCGCCCGGCACTAGATATCTCCGCCCGGCACTAATTTTTGATATTAAAAAAAGGAAGCTTTTTATTGCTCAGAATGCAGTAAATTGAGTTTCAGACTATCAAAAATCTAAAATTTTCAGGGGGGGGCATGCCCCCGGACCCCCTAGATTGGCTTTGCGCCTACGGCGCTTGCATCTTGCGACTTCGTCGCAACTGGATGCGCCCGGCACTAAAAAATCCTGGGCAGAACCCTGTAAACATACCGGGTTACACGATGTATCAAGAGCCCATTAACCCCAGAGCGTACAACACTGAAATAGGAAAATCATGGTGTCGTTTCAGCAAAATTAATAAAGTTTACCTACCTTATTTTGATACCTTCTCTACCGGAATATAATGCAGGAGTCATAGCTAGCCAATATAAGATCAACCGCTTGTCTCTACGATGTTCCTATGCCGATAAAAATCGAGTACTTCTAGATAATCCTAGCGCCATATCACCCAGTAACACTCCTCTCCCGCGTTTAGTGATTGCTAATGTTGCTTCGACAAAGCTCGTATGTTTCCCTCGTTCACTGTGAGCCTGCTTCTCTTGTCTTAAACGCGTTGTAATATAATTTACTTGCTCCTGCGATAGTGTTGCTGATTTAACATTCCTTTTCCTTCTACTATCTCTTCTCACATTTCCAGTCGCAGCCATGACTCTAACTACAACATTTACTACAGCTAGCGTAAGGGGCAGGTCATCAC